CAAATCTGAGGATAGGTGCCACTAAGAGACAAGATCCCACTGAAGGTTTTTCACATGAAGAAAACCCATATGAATCATTCCAAAGAAAAAGAGAGGACCTCTTTGAAAGATGGATAAGAAGAGAGAAGTAGGTTCACCCAAGACTCTAAAGACTGTAAAGCCAAAGGTGACAAGTGAAGAGTGCATTAAACAGTGTTGATCCGAGATATATGAGATACTGGGTAGGCACAACCCGAGGCTTGGACTCATGAACAATCCATCACAGAGAGAAAGCAAATTGGATGGTCCAACAAGTGCAAGTCAACAAAATACTCAGCTAGTATAATACAACCATCCATGTAATGATTGAAATCAATATGCAATTGTGTAGAATGCCAATAAAAGCTATGACTACAGTGTATGAAAACAAAGGGAGTCTAAGCCAGATAAAAAGGGACAACCTTGAACTGATAAACTACTCCTCAATGTACAAAACGAAGAAACACCTGAGAAAACTAACGAATTGTAACATGTAAATACACATCTTTAATATCCACTTTCATTATCCAACAACATTGACAAAGAAATGTAAGGTTTGCATAAGTGCCATCTTGAAAGATGGAATGTGGAGATGGGAAAGATCTAATACCAGTCTCCAATATTCTGTTTTCATAGGCACTACAAAAAACAAGAGTAAAACTCCAGGAGAACCCTCTTCATTAGTCCCTATGAACAAAATGTGTGAAACTTCCTGATTCAACAAATGAACACAAATTAGATCATATGGAACTAGAAAAGAAAGTGGAAAATTAAAGAGAGGAGGAGGTTAATAAAAGGTGATACAAAAACCAATTAAAGAAGATCTTAAACCCAATGGTCTTGAAACCAAGGATTACATTGATGAGCATTTCATTTCCAATGGTTCCCAAGGAGGAGCTGTCTGAAAGAGAAGAAAGTCATTGTCTAAGTCAAGTTGACCCACACAACTTGTATCTCCATTTTGCAGCAAGAAAGAAATGAGAAACATCAAAAGTAGAAGGCTGTAAAGTAGCTGCAGAAGTAAGCAATGTAGCAGGAGGATGACCTGAAGTAACATGTAAAGCCAGAGCCCTAATCTGTTCCTGCTAATGAGCTTTCCCTGACTAAGAAACCAATTCAAGAGAAATACCAGCAAAAGCAAGCAACTACAACAAAGAAGCCTGTTGTAGGTCATCAGCAATATTATGTGGAAGATGAATCCCCTGCAAAATAGTTCTACAAATACATCACAAGAACATGCAAGCCACATGGCAAAAAGTCAGTTAGTACTGCAGCCAAAGAAACCTATAAATTCAAACCTACTCCTGAGAAAAGTATCAGGAAAATGAGAATAGTATCAAGCTAATGACTGAGCTGATGAAGAAAGTCATAAATTCATTATAATCATCACATGAAAATGAGAATACTGACATGAAGACAGAGTGGAAGACTATATGGATGAACTCTCTCAAAAACCTAACCTAAATTAAAAGAAGAAGACCCACTAAAATGCCAAAATAATGAGAAGTGCCTCTATTTATAAAAGCATTAGCTGCAGAATGTCAGGAGAATGTGGAAGATTAAATAAGGATTCCAAAATGGTAACCTGTAACAACATGCTGGAACCCTCAGACAAAACAGAAATAGGTTCAGCATATAAAATGTTACAAACCTGGGGAAAAAGGGAAATAATTTCAGCAACATATTTGCCTGTAATAGGGCTGGCTGGTAAATCCTGCTCTTCAGATAAAGGTGAAAATGCCTCAGCAAAAGAACTGGCTTGTTCATGAATAGAAGAAAGAGGGTACTGACCCATCATTTTGGTATCTAATAAACCTTGATATTCACCAAGGACACTCTCACAAGACAATGCGGTGATGAAAATTCCTTACGTGTCTAGGAAGAACTGCTGAAATAAAGCTTCAATAGCAGCAGGAGTACAATCAAGAACAGAAGCATTAGAAGAATTAACTGAAGCAAGAATAGAAGTCTTAGTTTCAAAAGTAACTTGAACTTTAGAATTCATCACAGAAAAAAAGATCAAATGAGGTGAACAGTACAGCTGTCAACACAGAAATCTAATTTATGATGGGAAAGCATATCCCCTGACATATACACAGTAAGTCATATTGAAGATGAGAGAGTGCAAAAGTATGGTGATACTTTCTCTGCAATGTTTAAAGGACATTCAAGTTTGAGTTGCATGTTTTGTTGAGTTCAAACTCAACAAAATAAAGTTTTAGTATTTCAGAGGTTACTTTCCAGCCCAAAAAAATATGTAGCTGCACAAGCACAATGCTCCCATGAGAAAGCCAACAGTAGGATGATTGTTCATGCTTCAGATGCAGTTACACAAGGCAACACAAAGGTAATGACTTGTACAGTTGACAAAGATGTTGTTTTTATGTAGTCTCTATTGTTAATGAAATAAATCTTGATGAACTTTGAATAGAATTTAGAAAAGAGAATAACAATAAATTTCTGTCTATTCATGCAAATTCAAACAACTCTTTATTCATTAGTCTTGAGAGTATCGTCCTTTCCCATGCTTTTCCTAGATGTGACACCATTTTCTTTACTTAGTCACAAAAAAAGACAAAGCTTGGGAGGCATGACATTTATTGCCATCAGTGACTGACATATTTCAAGAACTGTCACAAGCCTCTGATAATGTGTCAGATGAATGTATTTGTGAGCTAGGGAGGTTCGTTGTTGTCAGGTGTGACAGGACAAGAGAATACATGGACGTGAACATAGCTCAGAAGGAAGTTTTTACAAAAGAGGATGACTGATGGAAAGATTAACACCCTCAAAAAATGCACGGGTTCAAAACATCTTTTGTGTTGCATATCAAGATGGCCATGTATGGGAGCAAATTTATCAAATGTACATGCGAAAAAAAGGGTTATGGAAAACAATGCAAGAGCATAAAGTCAGCACTTCGATGTGCCTCATTGTATTGGGATAATGGAAATTACACACAAGAATAGATTCTTGACTTTTAAAAACTGGAGATAGAACAATTTTATACACATGAATCACTTCAGAATTTTGTTAAATTTATCAAATCACATTTCTTACTAAAGCATTTTCATAAAGATGAAGTCAGATACATGGAATATCTTCATTGTACTTATGAAATTGATGTTTTCACCTGCATGTGTGCAAGTGACTGATAATTCACTTGAGCCAGAGATTGAGGGTGTAAAATATTAGACATGCAAAACTTTACTGCTTTTTATAAGAATAACATCTTTTTTCCAACACATCAAAAAGATATGTAGGCTGTAATTTTTGAAAGCATATTATAATAATGAGTGCATGTACAAATGCTAATTATTTGTACTTATCAATACATTAAACAAATATTTAGACCAGTTTACCAACTGTATTAAGTTTAATACTCCTTTAACAAACATATCTTGATTTCTGCATGGTAGAAAATGTCTATTCTTTTTATACAACATTTTTGCCATCAGTACATGTGCAAATTATCTAATTAGTGGTGTAATCATTTCTAAAATGCATAAGGATGTCAACTACTACAAGGATAGCAAATGTTATGCTGTTATGTCAAATAAATAAATATACAGTGTAATACCTTTCATTCTGTCCAAGTGATATATAAAAAATATTGAACCAAAGCATGCCCTAGAATGAGACAACTCTGTATCTGGAATTAACAAGTATACTAAATACTATAAATGTGGCAAGTTTGGAGCTTTTGTCATTAAACCCACAATTTTTTGGCTATGCCACTTCACTATAAAGAAAATGTGCCCTCCATATTTAACTGATTCTCTCATTCTCTCTCTTCCTAGTTGATAAGAAGGTACAGTGTGTTCCTTCACTTTGTTTTACAAAAAAAAATAATAATGTGTTAACTTTGCTTAAACTAATCTTAATAGATCTATTCAGTAGTAAACTGTGAAATACATCCTTTTTCTCAATACAAACACCATTTTACAAAAGTGAATACAGAAAATTTTGATTAATATCTAAGTTTCCTTTTGGGCATTCAGATGCATACAAACGTAACCAAGCTGCTTGGTACATACTAAGAAACTAGGGTCACTGATCTACTGAGTAGTCATTAAGCTATTTTACTACTAGAGTTTTTAACATGTGCAAATTATCATATAACCAATAACTTCAATCATTCTTGCATATACAACAAAAGTTTCTTTCTCAAGTTTAAAATTTCAGATATTAAACAGTTCTTAACTGCTTTAACACGAGATGTTTCACTAGGATGCTGGGAATTTGAGAAAGGTTATTATCCACATTTCACTTTTTTTTATCTAATCATCCATGTTTAAAACCATAAAAAGTCCAATATGCTTAAACCTAAAAAACTTCTTAAGTTGGAAAATCACATGAAATGTAAATTCATTAAAAACATCAAGTGTAGTACTAATATAAAAGTTTAGAGACAGCTTGAATGGGTACTGAAGAAATCTTTATTATTGTTCTTGCTTAACAAAGCAAGTGCACTGTACTCTGCTCATTCTTGTTAACATCTCTTTGGGAAAGAATCTGTTCATACTGAAAGAAAAACTATGAAATGTTAAAGCTTCTTTTGTTACACATTTTTTTTTATTTAAAACAAAACTTATAATTTAAGGTTAGTTAAAAGTTATAACTTGGAATATAAAATGAATTCAAGGGTACACATTTGTGATGGTAATTTTTGGTTCTACATTCACACCACAATAATAGCATATCCAGGTATATGAGTATGGGTTGTTTTGCACACTTAAAACATTCACACCACAATAATAGCATACCCAGGTATATGAGTATGGGTTGTTTTGCACACTTAAAACATTCACACCACAATAATAGCATACCCAGGTATATGAGTATGGGTTGTTTTGCACACTTAAAACTGTCAAAAATTAAGTTTATTCTTAGGACATAAAAAAAAACAAAGCAAGTACTTAACCCAGATGAAATTCCACTTACAATATGAATAAGAGAAGTAATATCACTTTCCAACTTACCAACAGTGTTTCTAAGAAGTGTGAGTGGCTTTTTACAGACTGTAACAAGGCTTCTCGATGATTAAGTGTTCCATCAAGGTTAACAGCACACTTTATCATACTAGATGGCAAGGATACAACATCTCTTGTGGTCTCAAATGACTTTTGTCCACTTCTACGACAAAACAACTGATCTTCTTTATCACAGAGCTTCTGAAGTAAACAAGGTCTCCTCCTTCCTAAACAAGCTCCATAAACCTTATTATACTCAAGTGTATTATTTGCACATAGAACTACAAGGTCTTCAAAGATCAAATCAAGAATTTCAGATATGTCAGAATTTTGGGTGAAATGTTGAATGATGCTTTCGGGTAACAAACTGAGGATGAGGAGGATCTTAGTAAAGACTTCATCAGGTTTAGGCACAATGGTACTGATTCTGTTTTTAATTTGTTGAATACAGTATGATAAGCACTGTAAGTAGATCATACACACTTGAAAGTTGCTGTAAATTAAACCTGTTTCTTCATTGAAAAATAGAAGCTGGTTCAACAAGCAGCTTACCAGTGAAGTATTTTCAAGTAAACCTTCCTTGAGCACAGCATAACAGTCTGAAGACAACTGAACTCCAGTTAGGTTTTCACCATCAAGCAAACTACAATATAATACATGTAGTTCCTATAGTGTAAAAAATAAATTATATATGCATATATATATATGTGTGCGTGTGTATATATGCTAAACAAATATACACGCAAATAAACTATTACTTAAATAAAACAAAAATTAAATAATTTTCAAGATCTATAGTGCAATAATGCAGCAAGATATTAAAATATTTTTATACCGAATATATTAACCATGCATAGAAACTACACAGGGGGGATAAATGCCCAGCACCATATATGAATTCCAAGAATTTCTTTCATTCTCACAGGACAAGTGTAATAACAATGGGGCAATCAAAGTATTCTTTAAAACCTGCTTGGGCTTGAAAAGCCCCATCAGCCTATCCAATTTCTATGCCTACCTTAATAAATCACTAACTTAGGATTATGTTTAAAATTTTATAACTTGTAAATTCTACACTGAATTCAACACACACACACACACACAGAGATAGATATAATATATATATATATATATTATGTAGATTTATAATTAATTTAATAACAACATTGTATAAGTCCATGTTGAAGAACTTACTTAATTTTGGGGTAAAAATAATCCATGTTGAAGAAACAGAACTCATCACACGAGAGGTAATCTCATACACTAATGTTAGCAGTCTAAAATTGTTCATTAAGAATACAATCGTAAGATGTCAAATTAATAGTCAAAGTTGATTTTTTTTTTTAAACTGAAATCAACACATCTTAAAATGTATGAAGAAAAAAATTACATGCATTGGAAATTTGTTACCAACATACAATATCTGAAAATAAAATGCATGAGATAGTGGGAAAAAGAAGTCAAAGTAAAGACTGCTCTACAGATGTGCAAGGAAAGGGGGACAAGAATTATCAAAAGTTTACAGAATAGTGTAGAATATCTCTCATTCCAAAAACACTACAAAAATAACTTCTTAGTTATGATATTTATATAGCAGAAATCATTTTACTTCTTATGTTTAGCTATTGTTATTGAACACTGTCTTTCCTGTGATTTTCCAATAATATCTATCTGTGAAAATAATCTGACAATTTCACAAGTTAGTATGATTTACTTGATTTTACCCAAATCCAAAACTTTTAAAGCACTCTTTAAAGTGAAGTACTTTACAACTCTTCATATTACACTTTTCTTTTGTAATTTCAATTAACAAACTTTTGCAATTTTTTTAATAAGAAATAAAGAAAAAAGACTAATAGAATTTTGATTATTTAAAGTAGGTTCATCTTTGTCTATATATTCAATAATGAGACTGTATTCACTTCATATGCATACTACATTTTATCTGTATATTCAATGATGTGGGTATATCCACTTCTGCATACTATGTTTTGTCTATATATTTAATAATGGAGTTTATCCATTTCACATGTGCACTATATTTTGTCTATATATTCAATAATGAGGGTATACCCACTTCACATGTATGCTAAGTTTGTCTATATATTCAATAATGAAGATACATCTACTTCTTATGTATACTACGTTTTGTCTATATATTCAATAATGAAGATACATCTACTTCTTATGTATACTACGTTTTGTCTATATATTCAATAATGAAGATACATCTACTTCTTATGTATACTACGTTTTGTCTATATATTCAATAATGAGGATACATCTACTTCTTATGTATGCTACGTTTTGTCTATATATTCAATAATGAGAATACATCCACTTCTTATGTATGCTACATTGTCTATATATTCAATAATGAAGATACATCCACTTCTTATGTATACTACGTTTTGTCTATATATTCAATAATGAGGATACATCCACTTCTTATGTATGCTACATTGTCTATATATTCAATAATGAAGATACATCCACTTCTTATGTATACTACGTTTTGTCTATATATTCAATAATGAAGATACATCCACTTCTTATGTATACTACGTTTTGTCTATATATTCAATAATGAGAATACATCCACTTCTTATGTATACTATGTTTTGTCTATATATTCAGTGATGAGTATACATCCACTTCCTATGTATACTACGTTTTGTCTATATATTCAATAATGAAGGTATATCCACTTCACATGTATGCTACATTGTCTATATACTCAGTAATGAAGGGTATATCCATTTCACATGTATACTATATTTTGTCTATATATTTAATGAGGGGTATACCCACTTCACATGTACACTGTATATGTCTGTATATTCAATAATGAAGGTATATCAACTTCATAAACTTGCTGTTTTGTCTATATATTTGGTATATCAACTTCATATGTATACTGTTTAGTCTATATATTTAATAATTGGGGTATATTCTATTTATATGCATAGTATTTTTTTGTCCATATTCAATAATGAGGTACATTCACTTTACATGCATACTGTTTTGTCCATACATTCAATAATGGAGTATATTCACTTCATATGCATTAGGGTGGTCCTTAAATGGGGATAAAATTATAAAGGTTGGAATTTGTAACCTCTCACTCTTCAGATTTGTTTGACTGTGTAAGAAAACTTAGCAGGCAAAATTTTAAGCGTGTTATGGAATATTTAAGGGTCGCTCAAGGCTTCGAAAAACTTTTAGAATATGACTTTATTTACTGTTTTGAGTCTATTACAGGATGATAATAAGATAAAAGAAAACAATAATAATACTTAACAAATAATATTTTATTGGCTTCTTGAAGTTATTCCTACTTTAGAAAAGAACAAAACTTAAATATAAAAAAAAACAGTTTTTTATGTCTAAATTAAAATGTCAATATAACCCATGACCATCACTTTAATGTCTTAGTTAGTAATCATGATATTTGTGGTATATTACCAGTTTCTTTGTTTAAATCAGGGAAGTGACACCTGTGATCTTGAACAATGTGAAGTAGATACTGCTTTTGATCTTCATCATTGGTAAGCAAAGAGTTATGCTCTTCAATGAGTGCAACACCCCTTTCAGCTTTATCAATGACCACGTTCAGACTCTGCACAAACTTCCAATGCTACTTTGTAGTCATCTCTGAAAAGTCCACAATTCAGGATCCACATCAAAAATATTTGTTCAAAGTTCCAGGCATCTAAAGAATTGAGGGTATTTTTTGTCACAAAATCTGATAGGGACTTTTGTTAAACTGTGTTGGTGTTGATTTTTATCCACTTTGGTGGATTTTGGGTATCTCCATGATGTTCATGTTCATTCATTGCTTTTATCATGGCTGGCTTTGTGTCTGATGATACATTTGATTAAAAAAAAGCCAAGACTATCAACTCTTCACTAAGGTACCATAAATGCCCAGCAAATTTCTTTGAAACTGACTTGGATACAGCTGGGTGGATTTCTTCATATTTCTTTAGACTCTGAAGAAATGAAAGAACTAGTTCAAGTTTGTGATGTCGACATGCGAAGTACAGTACATTTCTATCCAATTTTGCTTTAAGTAATGTACATGCACCTTTTTTTTTACTAGTATTTGTGGCTATCATATCAAAACATACTACCTTTATGAGATTCTGTACTCCCCAGTCTTCTAGTAGCCTGGTAACAGCATCAGCCTGAGTCTTGACAGTCTCAGAAATCAACTCTGGTACTCCAAGGAGTTAATTGATTTCTAATCCAGACATGATAACTAGCAAGTGGTCTACTTGTTCTCTTCCAGTGAGGTCACCGAGGTTTCCATCCCAATGAACAACTAGAGGGGTGTTTGGTTTGAACAACTGCTTCAGATTTTTGGAAATGTCCTGACAAAGATTAAGTCATGTTTGTTGGATTGAGCAACGATTAATTGTCAAATCCTGAATATCATGACCAAGGCTCTTGGATGAGCCAGTAAGCATGAATGTCACTTTTCTGTCTGACACCTTCATTCTGTCTATAGTAGCAGCCAACTCGGGGTCTATGATACTTTTCCTTGCCCTCGATTCAGGCTGAAAAGAAGATGGTTCTTGTATCATTCTGTTTCTCTCTGTAAAATCATCATCTGTGTCATCTTTCTCATTACTGTCAGAACTGTCATTGCTCTAATCAACTCTCTCATTCAGTCTTTTCTTCTCTTGTTCTGCTTGCTGCCATCTCCTTAATTCATCATTCTTTCTTTTCTTTGTTCTCAACTCTTTCATACTAAGTACATTGTCTACTGAGCTCAAACATCCCCAACATCCTTTCTCTCTCTCTCTGTGCAAGAAGAAATTCTCAGTCTTCTGGTATCTTGATTAGTGCAAGAGCATCTTGATGAGCAATATGAAACAGATCATCTAATTGGTCAGTAAAAGCTGCTTCATTGGCTCTCTGCATCTCTGTTTGTCTAGTGGAATTTTTCTTTAGCTTTCCCAGTTTTCAAAAAGTGTTTCAAGCTGTTTCATAGCATGCTGTTCAGGTTATATTGGAATTCTAGCTTTGTTCCAGAATAATGAAACTTCTCTGATGACAGCTGTTGCATTTTCACAGACTGTTTTTTTTTCAAAGTCTTGTGATAATAAAAAAAACACAAAGAAAACCTGCTTTTTTGAAGGTAATTTACTTCCTGTTATTTCTCGTTCTTCTGTTCCTAGTAATCACAGTGAAGCCTTGCTTCTAGTTGCTGCTGCCATTGCCATTTTCATCAAAAGATTATTGCCAGTAAAGTAGTTTTATCAGGTTTTCAAGCTTTCTTTATCCTACAGTATAACTCACAATTTAATTCTCGTTTTGTTTTCTCGAATTCTATTGAATCTAATCTGCTCAAGTGTCAACTCCTTAAATATATTCTGTTCACAGGACTTTCTAAAATAAGATTATTTTCCAATAATACAGAATATAATGGAACACTACAGAACAATAAAGAATACTGTGGAACTAAATGGAAAATTAGAGAAAAATTAGAGAATGGCAAAGAATATTATAGATCTCTAAAGAATGTTCTGGAAAGTTTTAGATTGTATTGAGATAAAATACAAAATCACTGATAGTTTATATACATAATATATTTTAACTTAAATAATTATTTACATGTTAGAAATTTGTGGATATCCATGACTGTATTTGTAAATTACAATGTATCGGACAATACTATATCCACAACATAATAAAACAATTCACAACATACTCAGTCATACTGTCATATTACTGTGTATATGACTAATTTTTAACTATACAAGTATTATATCTTACATTGCAGATTGTGTATAAACAGATAATGAACAATGAACATAAAGTACATTAAGCAAATAAGCTGTTTTTATTTTACATTTCTAGATTATTGAGAAACCTCTAAATTTATATAAATATTGTTGAAATTTTGCCCAAATGTTAAATTTACTTATTGGAACGTATTAGTAAGGTGAGAGTATAGAAAATAAAAGTTGCAAAATAAGGACCACCCTAAAATGCATACTGTTTCGTCCATATATTTGATAATAGGAGTATATCCACTTCATGTACATGCTGTTTTTTCTATATACTTAACAATTGGAGTATATCCGCTTTATATCCATACTATGGGTCTAGATAAAAAACAGTTACCTTCAAACTTTTGTTCAGAAATACATCCAATGATGGCACCATAAAGTTAGCAAAATGATGGAAATAAACTTGCATATTCATATATTTTACTTTATGTTACAGATGAATTGCATGTATTCTTTTATTTTCAGAAACTTGGAACCCTGCACTAATAACATTTACAAAATGTCTAAATGTACTTTATACTGTCATAATGCACTACATACCTTTAATACATTTGAAGAAGCACATGGCAAAGCATCTTGTAATAAAACTCGAAATTCTGCATCTTTTGCCAACAGTTCAACATCTCTATCCTGCATTGGTATAACCAGAAATGATTATTGATAATTTTTGTATAAAACCATATTTGAGAATTTAAAAAAATGAGTTTTTCATTTACAAATGAATGTTTGTAATTAATTGAATGTGAGATTTACTTTATAATTTAAAAAATTCATATCATATAGTCTTTGAACAATTATAACATATATTTTAAGAGCTAAATAGAAAAAAAATTCAAATGCAGGTAACAAATCATAAGTCACATGCACATGAAATGCTACACTTACATACTACAAAGCAGCATGAGAAATTTCTCTATACTGAGTTTAAATACAATCCAAAAAATTATTCTATTTAAAGAGTGACTATTCAAAGCTTCGGTTTCATACAACAATAAATTGAAAAGTAGATAACATCTCATAAGTGTTGAAAATTTAGGAAAAGATTCCTTAGCAGATAATAATTGGATTTAATGAATTCAACCTTTTTCATTTGTGTGTGTATGTGTGCATGTATAAGTTTGTAAATATCTACACTATCTACACATAAATGATAAGCATAAATACATAACACACACACACACAGACCTTCAGGTACACACAGCATGTACAGTGGCAACTGAAAGCTATAAATCACTAGCCTAAAAAACAAGCCCACTTTAAGAAGTGTGCTTTATATTTCAAGTATTTTTACCTTAATCTTGTTTATTAATTATTTTGATTTTTCGTAATAAGCATATGTATGGTACAAAATTAAAAATAAGGGAAAGGAAATCAAAAAGTTGGTAAGTTAAAACTGAAATAAAAAATGAAGAAAATCATTACATGTACACTTCAGAAATACAAGTATTAACTAGAGGGGTACTCAGCAGGATGCATATCTCCTCCACGCAGGTTGATCAATTTCAGCTCTCAAAAAATAGAAAAATGTGTCCATATGTCCGTCATTATCAATGGACATAGTCCATTTCTGGCACAACAATAAGGAATGATATTCTACATATATCTACCAAGTTGCATCAAAATCCAATCATTATTGACTGAGTTATAAAGCAAAGATATTGTGAAAATTGGTCCCCATGTTAACAGATAGGGATTTTTTGGATTTTTGTGATCTTGCTCTGACTTTGACCCTCCAAAAACTAATCACTTCTAAGCTGGATCATAGTCCAAATGTATATGAACTTTCATCCAAACCCATTCAGCTGTTTTCAAGAAATCTTGCTGACAAACACACACACACAGGTGAAAACATAACCTCTGTCCACCTTTGGTGGCAGGGGTAATAACAGTGTTACTTATACTTACTCATACTTTAACCAGAATGATTCAGTCACCAAATAAAATCTGTAATTGAATTAAGATATAACACTATCCAAAGTATCCATGTGTATCTGATGTCTAGTGGTATGATACTTACAAAATGACTAGGATTACACATTGTAACCAGACATCTGTAATTATTAAGAATAATTCATATATCTATAATAAAAAGGCTTCAATGAGAATAATTTGAATATATATATATATATCAAATACGATCATTACATGGGATGTGAACAGTGTTCACATACACCCTACATTAATATTCTCCCTTTACTCGATATGCCTAAATTATTTAAAATTCAAAATATTATGGCATTTTTATTTGTGTCATTATCCTAACTAAGCTCTAATCATTTCCGTATAAAAATTAATATTGCAATATGAAAATGGACTTCAAGTTCAACCAACTATTAAAAATGTATATCTTACTTGAGCACCAACAAGCTCCTTCAGCAGTTGACAACAGAGCCAACTTAAATGACTTGGAGATTTCAAAGGAGATTGGAAAATACTGAAAATGCAAATAAATTACTGAGTGAATTTGTATGTAAAGTGAACTTAAATGCATCATGATCATGGAAATTTGAATTATAAAACTTTAGAATGTTAACAGATACTGATATAGCACCAGTTGTTAAGTCTTACTTAGTAAGGATACACCCAAGTCAAACAACTTTTCCTTGTAATTTACATTAGTAGGAAAATTTGTACAAGTTCCTCACCTCGCTTTTTCAGGATAAAAAGCAATATCTTTTAGAAGTTTAATTAGATTTTCTTTTGTTTTTTCATCGCCCGTCGAGGCAAGTGTAGTAGCACAAGAACGTGCTAATTCCCATTGCCCAAGACGCACGTGATTTGAAAACTCCACTTCTAAGGTGTGAAACTGCGAATCTATCCTACTACTAGTAGTGTTCATTTTATTTCTGATTTGCAAGTGCCCCGCCATAGTAATTTATCCTCTCCTATAAAACCACTGCAACTTAATATATAGTTTAAAAAGTGACACCTGTTAGTTATTTTGAACTCGTAGTTACAGGTACACGCATTTCGACATATCCTAGTCTCATATTATCACTCCATCGCTAATCAAACATTTGACAACTGCTTTGTGGAAAATGTGAAATTTAACACCGAAAGTATTTATTTAAAATTCAGCATAAAGTAATTTTCAACCTAATTTATATATTTACTAACGTAATTAATGACTTTACAAGCTACGCATCTTTTGTCTGTAGTTACGTTTTACTTGAATTAACAACTATTACTAAATCACGTTTCTTTTTTTCCATATCCTATCATTTCACATAGTTTCAGTTATATCATACATTTTAAAAAGGTGGTGCCGTATTCCCGTAGTGACTGTACTGGATTCTAAAAGCAACTTACAAAAATAAATAAAACCTCTAATTTTTTATTTCGCTTACAAGGAGATAAGAATATAAATTTCCATTTACCCTATTTTTATTACAATTTATCTAAACTTAAATTTATTTATATGACATTAGAAAACAGTAAGTTTAATAGTTACCAAATAATAACCACTTATATAACTCTTTGCATAGAAAACTACGAAAAAAAAACACTCAAATTTGTAGTACATACTATCGGGCAACGTTAAGTAATACATATGTGTTCAGCTCGTTTGTTTTTTCTTTTGTATAGATAAACATGCCATACAAAAATAGGTAAGGAACAAAAGTCACCTTAAGTCCTTAAATAAAAACAAACAAACAAAACTTGAAACAGCAGACCACACGTGCAACTGAGAAAAAAGAAACATATTTTAGAATTAGTCTTAGTTTGGGTTTTCAAAATGTACACCTATTTCCTCTAAATTTCAAGAAATCATTGCCAGTTTCATCACTTCAAAAACGCAGAAACTTCCAGAAGTAGCCTAACCAAGAGCTTAGCATCCTTTGAAATGTAAATTATAGAGTCTTTAAATCCATTAGGTTTCAAAGAGATCAAGTTCAATTACATATGTCTTTCTTCTAGCTTGGCTGGGAGTTGCCTTGTGGTGAGTATGCCAACTACAGGTCGCACAGTTCAAGTTTCTAACTGCGAGATGCCGCTGAACAAGCTCCATAATTTCAGTTGTTGAGAATGTGAAAGTCAAACTCAATATTTGGTTTAAAATAGCCGTTTAGTCGACTGGCGCTGTAGACTTGTTGCTCTTTATCTGGCCAGAACATCAAAATTATGGATGGCTATGCCTGAGCCTTGGGCCTTTGATTCATATATCGTATAAGATGCCGTTCAGTTTAAAACATCAAATACTGTCCGCATAGCTCTTTCTTCTTTTTCAACCAGTTCAATAACCTTCCTACAATAAAGAGGACTTAATATGAACACAATAATAAAAATGACGTCTAATCAGCGGCTTATACATGTATAAATGAACAATAATCTCCATACTCTTAGACTAAAAATACCATAGTATCCGGTTTGCTCTAATTAACGACAATTACAACTGAAATTTTCTCCTTCTTCTCAGCGCCAGAATTCTTCTTACACAGCACTGTAAGTCTCAACTGAGTTTCTGCACATGACAGGTAATTTTAAAGACTAAAATCTTTTCTAAGAAAACGATTAGTCACTAAGCTTATCAACGTCATTTTATGTTAAAATAGTTTTCTTATCATAGTATTTCTAAAAACCTTTGCTACTGTCGAATCTGTTTTATTTGCAATCCATACTGCAATGTAATATTCTTAGGTGCACTGTATTCTCTGGAGTAATCGACATAAATGATCAGCAAAATAACAGCATGTTCAATAGAGAATGTTTCACGAAGTAAGTCTAAATTCTCTGACATTGATTGTGTTTGAATAATGAAAGAGACTGCATGAAAATGTAAAACAATTTTAATTCAAAACACAACCAATATTTTTCATTCCTTACCATTCTAGAGCTTATCCAAGGTGGATTCTCCTACACTATAGTAAAGTATAAGATTTGTCCTTCTTAATAAAGTAATTATATAAAATTACATGTCAAAAATTATTAAATAAATACCCACTTTACTTCAGATTTAGTATTCTGTGCGAACCAGCTTTTATTGTTCCTATAACTTTAATAATGTATCTTTTAATCACTTTTTTTTATCTTTAATCACGATAGCACATTAAACACAAAAAAATGTTAATTTTGTGACCATTGGTGTCTGAATTTTATTGTGCGCCTGTTTGCAGTACCATTCACAAAAAAAAATCTTCGGGACAGAGGATAGACTTTAGTTTGCTCCCCATTCCCCACAGAAATTTCAATCTAAGATTTTAATCGGGCTCTATTCCACTGAGTTCTCTATAGTAAATGTACTTGGTGATATCATCGTGTAGTTTGTACCTTAAAAACATTCTGTAAAAATAATGAAATTTAGCCTATAAAGAAAGAAAACAAGTAATTTGTATTTTCATGCTAGCACGTATGATAAACATTCTGTTCAAAATAAAATTTAATGATGCACGTCTATTACATTATAGCTATCATGGTAAAGTAAAAGAGTTTTGCATGTAGTTGTTTATAATACTAATATAGTATTGTTACGACAGCGGAAGTCACGTGACCCTAGTAACACGTCATGAACTTCTAGAAGGATCCTGTCCCTTCCTGAATGCTCTAGCGTTTAGTAGATTTCGGTATTCTTTTATATATAAGACGGTCAAGGCGTGACGGCAACAATGTAATGCGTACTTGAACTGCGGACACAGAGAGACGTATTGTTGAGTCGAGCACGTGAGACGTTCGTTGTGAATTATAGCGTTTGTTATAGCGTGACTGTGGAAATTAAGTGTATTGCAAAGTTGTATTTAGAAAGAATAAACCAGTTTTATTTAACAAAGGACTTGTATCGCTAAAGTTTCTTCGGAAAGAAATTATACAGAAAATTAACTAACGACCAGAGGCGTAACAGTATATTGACATACGAATTCGCACTGCAATACATCATGCAGATCTAATAACTTGCATAGAATATATTTACTAAAGTGATGAGGTGGATGACTACTGCAAAATAATAATGCCATCACAAACCTAAAACAGCGATTTCTCTCAGTTCACTGACTTCCCCTCGAGTATTCGAGCAGGAGCCATAGAATAACAGGAGGATCGTCAGATACTGTATTGCGAAGCACAATACTATTCCTTATAACGTTGATTTAGGCTTAAGCAAATGAAGACACTAATAAAGGTCTGTCTCTTGAAATATTTACTGATGTTAAAACTGTTGTGCCTATAAATGTTGTTGAAGAGACATAATTCTAAGCACACGGACTTGGTAATAGTAATGCTCTGAGACTATCAGATAGAGGTATTTGGTATTTTACACCAGAACTACACCTTTTACGACACAGAGGCTTAAAGGTTTGGTCAAAAAACCCAAATGTTCAGTCGTAGCTATCCTTATTTTGAACTGCTGACCAGAAGGAGGAAAAACAGTCAGTAGCACCCCCTACCACTAATCTTTGCTGAATAGGGTAAGTGACTGTCGCACTTATAATACGCTCACAGCTGGAAGTGCATAGTATGTTCAGCGAGTTCGAACCTTAGACCATTCGAACCACAGTCTTTCATGCTAACCACTCAGCCACGGCAGGCCAAACTGGAAATATAGATGTGGCAAGCCAACGTCTGGTAACCTCAATAGTGATATGCCTAATATAGAGCAATGCGATTTAAGTGTTTACAGGAAGCTGATCTAAACACGCGCATGACTTTTCTTCTGTAAACCAAATATTAAAACCAATTTACATATAATTTTAAAACTGAAGATATTTGAACAATAACAAAGAATTAAGTAAAATAAACTGTTAATTGGTCAAACGAGGGAAGTATGAAGTTGTAGAAAATAAACTGCGGTTACTGAAGAATAATTACTGGACTAAAAATACGGTATTTGGTGCTTGAGGTTACGCATCCTATCATCACATACCAGCCAACAAAAAGTTGGGCAGTAAGATATCCGTACAAAATCACAATAACAATATAGTTGGAAAAAATATTTATGAATATGAACATTATGAACATACGCGTGTGTGTGTGTGTGTGTTGTTTTAGTGTTACATATATATAAATGGCACTGTCAGTTTAAATGAGGAGTGTTAATTTTATTAAGGTTTAGTAATATATTAAATTCTGTAAGCGTATATTAAAAATTATTGTGGTAGTACAGACCATGAGCAGACACTAATCAGTACTTTTATCAGCAAATAATAAAGTATTATACAAACTTGGTTAATTCTCGAATTTATAGAAAAACTGGGGTTTGGTAAGCTACATTTTATCTTCTGTATATGTGTTCTAAGTTCTTATTTATAGTACTCGCTAGATGTAGGGTAGCTCGTCATTTGTACACGTGTGGAAACAGTACGATACTAGATGTGAAGTAGCTCGTCATTTGTACACATGTGGAGATAGTAAGATATAAGATGTGAAGTAGCTCGTCATCTGTACACATGTGGAGATAGTACGACTCTAGATGTGAAGTAGCTCGTCATTTGTACACATGTGGAGATACTACGATTCAAGATGTGAAGTAGCTCGTCATTTGTACACATGTGGAGATACTACGATTCTAGATGTGAAGTAGCTCGTCATTTGTACACGTGTGGAGATAGTACGATTCTAGACGTGAAGTAGCTCGTCATTTGTACACATGTGGAGATAGTAAGATATAAGATGTGAAGTAGCTCGTCATTTGTACACGTGTGGAAATAGTACGATACTAGATGTGAAGTAGCTCGTCATTTGTACACATGTGGAGATAGTAAGATATAAGATGTGAAGTAGCTCGTCATCTGTACACATGTGGAGATAGTACGATTCTAGATGTGAAGTAGCTCGTCATTTGTACACGTGTGGAAATAGTACGATACTAGATGTGAAGTAGCTCGTCATTTGTACACATGTGGAGATAGTACGATGCTAGATGTGAAGTAGCTCGTCATTTGTACACATGTGGAGATAGTACGAT